CGCCCTCCAGCAGCATCCGGCGCGAGTTCCACACCTGTCTCTTATACACATCTAGATGTGTATAAGAGACAGATACAAGGTTGGTTACCACGTACCTGCTGCACTGAAGATTGTTATGCGGTCCAAGAAGAGGTAGCGGCCATAGCCGCAGAGCTTGGAACACGGATGAGAGAGGGAAGAGAAGCAGGGAGGAGGAAGGAGGGAAAACGTAGGTGAAGACAGACATAGCCGGGGGTGTACAAAAAAAAAAAGAGAGAAACAGCGAGAAAAAAGAAGGGTGGAGGAGGAGAAAGAGAAGGGAGATTGGCGAGGAAGAAGGTGCCGGCAGCCATAGCCGATCAGAGGGTTCACCGGAGCATTGACTGGGGTTAGACCATGTTGACCAAGCGTTGACCAAGGTGTTGACCGGAGCTGCTGACCACAATTTTGAACAAGCTGGAGTTGGTATAATCTCGCCGAGCCCTCAGCCTATCCCCTCGCCCTATGGATGTGCACTCACCCTATGGTACTTGCTGAGTCTGAGACTGTCTGTCTCTTCTTTCTGCATTGAGTCTCTTCTGTCCAGGTGATAGGACTCCGTGTATGAAGGATAGGGCCACGTTGACCAAACCCACATGGGCTGAGTAGGGCTAAAGACTGTGTCTGACGACTCGACTGTCCCGGAGGACACGAACACTCCCAAGGACCGGTACTGACCGGCGGGCTGCTCGGTGTGGCACGGTAGGCCCAAAATCTGAGTTGTGGGCTGCACAACGGGCCGTCTAAGTCTTGAGAGAACCTGCTGACCGCGTCGTCCTGTCTGCGACGTTAAAGAATTTTTGAGGAGTTACGGGGGATCTCCTTAAATGCCTCCTGGTCAGCAACAGGTTCTGTAGTGACGGCTGTAGTATTAGAGTCTAGGCGAGTGCCCCTAGTTGACAAGGTCTGAACCGGGGCGAAAGCCATGTGGGTTTGACCGCAGGTGCTGGGCATCTGGGTCTGGATTGCAAGGACTGTGGTTGCGAAAGCTTCTGTCGGCCGTGGTAATCTGGCTGGAACAAAGGGTAGGATTCTGTAGTCCTTAGAGAGTCAGTTAGTCTTAAAGTTAAGTCGAGGGAGAGTCTAAGTGGTGAGGAGTGGAACCGTTTCTTGGTTGTGCACCGATCACCATGGTTGACACGCGTACAGGAAAGAGCACTTCCCCTTATACCGCGGAAGAAGAGGCAAAGGCCGCCGCCATCCTAAAAGAGAGACAAGAGAGGAAGGAGGCCAAGAAGAAGGCCTTGATGGAGGAACAGCCGGCGAAGATGAAAAAGATTGAGGAGGAGATGGCCAGAGAGAAGGAGAGATTAAAGAAAGAAGAAGAAGAAAAACTCAAGGCGGTGGAAGAGGAGGAGGAAGAAGAAGAGCCACTGGAAAGGAGAATAAGGGAGCAAAGAGGGGAATCCAGTGGAACAAGAGATGACCAACTGGAGAAGAAGATCACAGAGTGGGTTGCAAATTTATCCCTGGGAGAAGAAGAAGAAGCGTTAATGTATGTACCCAGGGAAGAGCAGGAGGCGGCCGTAAAGGCGTGGGAGGCGGAAGAGGATCCACTCAAGCGACAGGCCATGGAGGATGAGACAAGGATGGAGTGGAAGCTACGACTCATGAGGGAGAGAAAAAGGAGAATGGAAGCAGTGAGCCAGGCGGCGAAGGAGTGGATTTGAAGTGAAAAAGCAGAAAGATCAGATGGCGGTACAGGTGGACCTCCTGGGTAAGGTGGAAATCATGGCGAGGAATATCGAACGCTTGACAGCGGCTCAAGAAGAGCAACACCAGTTTATTAGAAGTCAGGACATTGCCCTGCGTTCGATACGATTGGGATTCAGGGAGTTTGCAAGGGAGTTAGTGATGCCGGTGGGCTCAGAAGTGAAGGCTCGCCTGGAAAACACGGAGCGTTATTGCACCGGCGCCATAGAGGGCACCAGGTTGGCCGCACCAAAGGGGGAAGAAGCACGCCCTCGTAGAGAGCCTGTTAAAGTAAAGTTCCCCGATTCCTAGAGCGGGAAGAAGGAGGAGAACCTTAACAATTGGGAGGCCAGCGTTAAAACAGATGTGCACTTGCAGAATGTAGCTCCCGATGAACATGTCTTGATAGCCATTCACGCTCTTAGGGATGAAGCAGCAAGCTTCGCCCGTTCCCTGTGTCGCGCCGCCAACTGTAGTGATGATTTGGTGGCCTATTCCGCGTTCAGTCCCCTCAGTGACTTTCTCAAGTTGCTGAGAGAACGGTTTACAAACGTGACCCATAGTGTCAAAGCGTCAGACAAGCTGCAAACCATCCATTCTCGTCAATGGAGGAGTGTCAGGGCACTCAAGGGCGTAATGGACGAGTTGGTCACCGCTCCTGACCATGGGGTCACTGAGACCCAACTGGTCAACCTCTTCTACCGGGCTATGCCCAAATCGTTGTGCGGGCACTTCTTTGATAAGAGCCAGCAACCTACCATGACCTACGATGCACTTAGCAAGGAAGCGGTAGCCTTCGAAGCACGGTCCGCGTCAGTATCCACTTTCTGGCACAAGGACCTGGATAAGGGTAAAAAGTGGAAGGGTCACACTAATCCGGGGCAGATTAAGACTAAGGATCGTCTGCTCCTTACATTAGATGAGGGTAGTGTGGAAGAAGTCCCCTACGAGCAGATTGAGTGGGGGCTGGAGGAGGACAATAGCGATAGTCAGGGGAGGACTTACGCTGCTGTCGCGGCCGGAGGGAGGCCGCAAGGAAGAGGAGGAGGCCAGGGCCAAGGGGGCCAGGCCTCAGGTGGCCGTTTCCAGGGCGATCAGGGGGTTGGCGGTAAAGGAGGAAACTGCCAAGCGGGAGGAAGGGGTCAAGGTCCCCCGCAAAACCGTTTTGGCAACCGTTCACCTAATAGGGGTAATAAGTCACCCTATAGGAGAGGTGGTTGGCACCCAGGTCTGCCACAAGGCCGACCTTGGGAGGATTTGGGCTCTGGACCAGCGCGTCTGGCAGCAACGTGTGGATCAGGGGCAGTTCGTCTTTTGCGGTGACCCTGGCCACATCATTCGATATTGTCCAAAGTATAGAGAGGCCCGATGGGCTGCCCAACAGGCAAAAGGCAGCCGCCGGTAGGGGTTGCAACTGCCCCTACCATAAGGCCATGTGGGGAAACGAGCGCGAGTCGGCAAGATACTCCCACACCACATGAGCCTATGGCAGAGGTTGCAGGTCGGTGCCTAGATAGTTGTCCAAAGACTGCTTGCGTTAGAGTCTCATTAGGCACCTCCCTCAAAGGCGTGGCTGATGAGCTGAAAGAGAGAATGCCCGCCTGGGCCAAGATGAAGAAAGAGAGTAAGGGACAACTAGTTTTGGTAGATGTAAAGGTCTTTAGAAGTAGAGTAGGAGCCCTTATAGATTCAGGGGCTTCCCGCAGTTATATTAGTCGTAGAGCGTTGAAGAAGGTGAGGCTAAACTTTAAAGTCCAAAAGTTAGAAGACCCCATAGTAAGTGTCCTCGCAGACAACCGCACCATGCGTGTTGAGGACTACGTAGAGGGAGTCCAGGCGTATTTCCGCCTAGAGAAAGATGGGAAAGTGGAAAAGGTTCTCCATTCCCTGACTCTCCTAGTACAAGATGACCTTCCTTTTGATATAGTCCTAGGTATGGACTGGGAGAGGCAGCAGGGGCCACACTCCACCTGAGAGAGCATGAGTGTAGGCTCCCTAGTCCGACAGGCGAGGTCAAGACTGCCCGTCTGTTCCATGCCTCACGTGTAGACAACACCCTGGCACATTGTTGTCTCAGTGCTCCTGCGTTTGCCCGATTGGTAAAGAAGGAGAACTTAGAGGAACAGGTCTTTGTAGTTTACGTCAGGCCTGTCACTGCGCCTAAGGAGGAAAAGCCCATTCACCCAGCTATTGCCAAGCTGCTGGAAGAGTTTAAGGATTTAGTTGAGCCGCCGACAGGAGTAGTATCGCAGCCCATCCAGCATCGCATTGAGATTGAGCCTGGCAGTAGAACTCCCAAAGGAGCGGTGTATAGAATGTCCCCGCGGGAGTTGGAAGAGCTACGCAAGCAATTAGACGAGCTCCTAGAAAAGGGTTGGATTAGGCCCAGTTCGTCTCCATTTTGAGCACCTGTTCTGTTTGTCCCCAAGAAGGAGGGAGAGCTCAGGATGTGTATAGGCTATAGGGGTCTTAATCCTATCACAGTGAAGAATGCAGAGTCGCTGCCCCTTATAGATGATCTCTTAGACCGGGTGCAGGGATGCAAGTATTTTTCAAAGATAGATTTGAGGTCCGGATATCATCGAATAGAGGTTCATCCTGATGATCAGTATAAGACCGCGTTCCGGACTAGGTATGGGCACTATGAGTTTTTAGTCATGCCCTTTGGACTAACCAACGCGCCAGCGACTTTTCAACGTTGTATGAATGACCTGTTTAGGCCGTGGTTAGATAGGTTTGTAGTAGTGTATCTAGATGACATTTTAGTGTTTAGCAAGACCCTCCAAGAGCATCAGGGTCACCTGAGGCACGTCTTGGAGAAGTTGAGAGAAGCTAACTTCAAGATCAATCCGAAGAAGTGCGAATGGGCAAAGACCCAAGTTTTGTACTTAGGCCACGTCTTAGACGAAAACGGCATTAAGCCAGAGGATAGCAAAATCGCAGCGATTAGAGATTGGCCTACGCCTCGCACGCTGACAGAGTTGCCATCGTTTTTAGGCCTGGCGAACTACAACAGGAAGTTTGTCAGAAACTTCTCTACCATCGCTGCACCCCTTCGCAGATTGCTAAGGAAAGAAACAATCTGGAAGTGGGATAAGGACTGCACGTCTGCCATGAAGAAGTTGAAGCAGGCGTTGATAGAGTATCCAGTCCTTAAAGTCGCCTATCCGTCCTTACCTTTCGTCGTTACCACTTACGCAAGCCAGTATGGCACAGGTGTTGTACTACAACAAGACGATGGCAACGGCTATAGACCCGTAGAGTTCATGTCTGCTAGGATGCCTTCAGAGAAGGTAGCGACATCCACCTACGAGAGGGAACTCTACGCTTTCAGGCAAGCGTTAGAACATCGGAAGCACTACTTGCTTGGGAGGCACTTCAAAGTGTATTCAGACCACGAAACTCTGAGATGGTTGAAGACACAAGCCAAGATGACACCTAAGTTGACTAGGTGGGCCACAGAGATAGACCAGTACGACTTTGAGCTCAAGCCAGTTAAGGGCAAGTACAATGTAGTTGCGGATGCTCTAAGTAGGTGGTCAGACTACTTCGGGGCGATAGTCCATTATCTGGATATAGGAAAAGACCTGCAACAGAAAGTTAGAGAAGCATATGCGCAGGATCCTATCTATAGCGACCTTCTTAAGAGAGTTAAGGAGGCCCCAGAAATTGAACCACATTACCGCACTACAGAGGGTTTGTTATTTGAGAAGACTGATGTAGTAGACCGCTTGTGCATCCCCAACAGTGAAGAGATTCGTAGCTTGATCTTAGGGGAATGCCAGGATACAGAAGGACACTTCGATTGGCAAAAGACCTTAGCAATCTGATGCGCGCATACACTTGGCCAGGAATGAAAAATGACTGCATAGAATATGTCCGCAATTGTAAAGTGTGCCAGAGGAACAAGACCACCACGCGTGCCCACTAGGTCTTCTCAGACCCCTGCCTATTCCTGACCAGCCCGGGGATTCAGTGTCCATTGATTTCATGGACACCGGCGTTAAGAGTAGGCATAGTAAGAGCCAAGTCATGGTCATTGTAGATAGATTTAGCAAGTATGAAGTTTTTGTTCCGTTGCCTGCGGAGGCACGTACAGAGTTAGTAGTTCAGAAGTTCTTTGATAATTGGGTCGGTGAACACGGGATTCCGCTGTCTATAGTTAGCGATAGAGACACCCGGTTCACTACTCAAAACTGGCAGGAGTTGATGAGAGTATATGGCTCCAAGCTGCTGGTGTCATCTGGCCGTCATCCAGAGACAGACTGAGCAAATGAATAAGCTCCTACAGCAAGTTCTGAGAATGTACATTAGACCTGATCAGACTACCTGGGATGAGATGCTCCCAAAGGTAGCCAGTGCCTACAATAACAACGTGCACCTGTCCACGTGTCGCACTCCCAACGAGTTACGTAAGTCCTTTAGACCACGCAGACCGTTTGAGGGACTTAACCCGGATCAGATTCATAGGCTACCGCCCGGTACTAGGGAGTTTGCGTTACAGCACGAGAAAGAATTAACTACCGTTGTAGAGAACCTCAGGAAGGCCCAGCATAGGATGATAGAACAAGCCAACAAGCATCGTCGCCCATTGCGGTTTCAAGTAGGCGACTTAGTCTGGGTCAAGTCAAAGGAGTTTGCTCCTTAGGAGAACATCTCACATAAATTACTGCCTGCGTATAGAGGACCGTGGCCAGTCCTAGAGGTCAAGGGCGGCGAGGATGGACCGTCCTACACTATTGAGATTCCAGTGCACCTCCACACCTACCCCGTATTTCACGCCTCAAAGTTATTGTTGTGTGTCACAAGTCAACAGTTTCCCTCTAGAAGGTCCATGATCCCTCCGGATATGGATGGAAGCTATGACATTGACGGCATTGTAGGTGAGGATATATTCAGGACAGGAGGTAGAAGTCGTCCTCAGAAACAGTACAAGGTTCGATTCGAATATCAGGAACCGGAAGACGACCGCTGGTTTACTCGAGCTGAAATTCTAGAAACAGCTCCCGGCATCGTCAGGGCCTACGAAAGAGATAGAAAAGGTAAAGGTCCTGCCTTGGACTGAGGTATTCTCGAAGGACCTCGAATTTAGGCCGGCGGGAGTGAAACGGTTTTCACCTTTGCAGAGGCAGATGCAGATCCCAGGGTTTGATCCCCAGACCTTACCTCACCAATGTACAGTATCGAGTTGCCCTCTGAGTGTTTGAAACCGTGACCTGTGTCTCGTGAGTTGTTGTTTGTCTGTCATAGGACTGGGTGTATGTAGGGATTCGATATGTAGACCTGTTGAGTAGAGGTCTTAGAGAGTTCCAGAAGTCGTAGCTGTCGATGGCCTGAAGGGTCAAGGTCGTAGCTGCTACAGTCCTGAAAGGTCAAGCTCGTAGCTGCTACAGTCCCAAAAGGCCAAGTCCCCAGACTTCCGGAAGGTCCGGAAGTGGCCTTTCACAGCTTGCTCACGTTTTAGACTGAGGCAAGTGGGCAAGTAGGCAAGTGGGCAAGTGGTGGACCAACTGCAGTACGTCCGCAGTACGATGGCGGTAGGTTAGCAGTAGGTCCCCAGGCAGTCCACAGTGCGGTTCAGTCAGTCCCAGTCCAGTCCAGCAAGTACCATGGGGGACTGTGTGTACCATGGGCCGATGGAAAGGGGGCAGACCAATGAGTTACAGGAGTATAAATCAAGAGGCAGCGCACAGCTATTCATTCATTCCTGCGGAAGCCATGCAGAAGCGCTGCCACGGTGACTTGTGCGAGGTGGTCTGCAGAGGAGCCTGAAGTCGAAGTGGGCTGAAGGAGTTAGCGCAGCCATAGCTGCTTGTAGGGTAGTGTTAGTGGCCATAGATGCCATAGCTGTTAGTGTAGTGTGTGTACAGTGTGTGTGCGTGGGGTATCCAGGGTGATCCGGAGTTGGAGTGTGAAGCGAACAGTGGTGTTGGGCACAGTGACAAGAGTTGCGATGTGTGGGTGCTGATGCACCATAGCCTGTTGAAGCGAGCTTACATCTGAACTGTGTCTTGGTTTCCGTATCTTCGAGCTTTGGGTTGGGCACTATGCGCCAGTGTGAGTCACCATCTGTTTAAATGCATGTGAAAAGACGAAGTATGCGAGTCTGACTGCATTATTCTTCAACACGGCGGGCATCTTTCTATAGATAGCAAGCGATTGTAGTGCAAGATATGATATATGTGGGACGAGATGTATTTGATTCATACTTACATATATGATTTAAGATAAGAATTCTATATACTAGTCAAAGGCTACAATACAATCATAAAACGATGCATTCCATTCTCCATTCAGTGGACATGCTTAATTTATGCATCTTTCTCCGCTTCGTGCCTTGTCCGTAATGCACGAATCGCAAGTGCCCTAGCTGTACGCTTTCTTTTAATTAATCATCCAAACCGTTCAGACTTTACCACTTTTCTTCCTTCAGGCATATATATGGGTTTCAATTCCAATCCTACAGTGTGCATTGTCTGATTTCTCTCAGTCATTAGCTGGCTATCGCCTGGGCAGTTCCTGTCCGGCCTAGGTGTGTCTGGCCCTCTGCTTCCTTCTTCCCCCAAATACAACGTAAGGTCATGATAGCTGTATGTGGAATATCTTTCAATCTAAATACAGCTATAATGACAGTATATTGTATTCGGGGGAAGAAGGCAGTTAACCCTGTACCCCGCTTTTTTTTTTTTTTTTTTTTTTTTTCTTAAATACAGCTGTATTCTCCTCATGTATGGGTGACAAGCAGTATTTACCACTCGCGTTTCTTCTCTCAATCTTGTATCTACTGCACACTAGCTACCTACCTACCCTTGTCTAGTTTGGAGACTTTCCTTTTACCTTCTGCAGTATCCGACCACAAACCCTACCTTAATCTAGCGACAGGGAGCAAGCTATTCTAGGGGTTATGGGTTACGCCTATCTACCTCCATCCCAGCCCACCTATCCCCTCAGGGTTGAGCCTATCTCCTCAGGGTTGAATCTAACACCTGGCGCGGATGGGAGGAGGCATAGTTACCCCCACCAAGACCCACTAGGGGGGGCAACCGACTATATCAGGTGGTGACCCGAAGTATGCAGCAGGAGATTGTGGAGAGCCATATGGATGCCATGGGGGGATCAAACCCATGACCTGAATACCACTTAAGTGCTCAAACAACAGACCTAGGCCGCCCAGCTGGTTTTTCTTTTTCTTCTTTCTGACATGGTCTTTCTATTTCCTCATGAGCTACCGAAGTTGAAACTAAGGCTGTTCTCACTGCTCTTGACCTCACTGGTATTCTCCTTTGCTGGACGAGTAGTGGGATGTTATCCCTTTCCATACTTCTTCTGTTTTCTCCCATAGGGGGGATATTCTTCTGCATGAGAGGAAAGAGTGTCTGGCATCCTCTACCTCTCCTTTTGGGCAGATTCTAGCCAAGTCTTTTTTGGTTTCCTCGACCTCGCGCATAGTACCAGATTTCCCATGCATGCTCAGGCCATTTCTGCTCGGTCATCACCCCCCTGTAATGAACCCAGTCTAGTTGAGAAGACAGTCAGCAATGCAATACAAGTCTGAACCCAGCGCACATCATGAAGTCTCCCAAGCCAATTACAAGTCCATGTCTCAATTATATGCACAATTCAGAAGCATTGTCTAATCAAAGACGAGCATGAAAGAAAGTGAAAGGGGAGAGGAAAGACAGAGAAGAGGAGGAGGAGAGTCCGAATAAATAATCAATAATATCTCTCCCCTTTCCCACTTCCACTTCCGGGCATTTCCCCTATCGCCACCTCAGCAATGCATGTGCCCCTCTGACATCCTCTGACATAATCACTGTGCAGATCATTGCAGAGCGCCCATCCTCCTTCCAGGTCAGCAACAAGATATGGAGGATGGCACAGCACTTCCACACCTTCGTGGAGCAGCAGATCACACATGTGAACGCCAGGTAAGTCTATGTACGCTTCCACAACTCCCATCAGTCTCGCAACCCTGATCCTCCTCCTCCTCGCCAATCCTAATTACCTAGTCTACAGCCATGGCGGCAATGGCCGCACCAAAATAATCCCCTCTGGGCTGGCGCCCTCCAGCAGCATCCGGCGCGAGTTCCACACTCCAGTAGCCTCACGTAGCAGCACTGGAATCGAGCGAGCGCAAGGCAGAACGCCTTCCCCAGTGGTCAGGCTGACTTTATGTAGTGT